TATATATATATATATATATATATATATATATATATATTATTAATATTATTATTATTCGCGACTAAAGATGTTTTGAATCGATATGAAGTCTACTCCAGGTTGCAACCAGCTCCGTAAGAAGCAGGTCTAGGAACTATGCTGTCGGTGCTTGGCAACACTTGGCGCAAAATGAGGGCCGTTACAAATAATTTCTTCAACTTCCCCGTCCTTTGAATAGCCTTGGAGTTCAGCCAAGTTCTTTGACAAATTTTGCGAGCAAATACCCGATCTCCGAATAACTATCGGTACATGTGCTTTAACGCTCCACATTCGGCTGATCTCTATTTCCAAACTTGTATTAAAAACGTTTCCCTGTCTCCTTGGTTACGACCTTTTGATCGCACGGCACAGCATTATTTCCAAGTCCTCACGTTTTCGTCTTTTGAATGCAATTTCCAAATACTATATTTTCTTTGAGTTGAATTTCTTGTACTTTTTTTAACGATAATCGTTGAGTGAAAACTATTCCAGCATTGTTGAATTCAACCAAGTAACTGAACATAAGAATATTTATATTTCACTATGTTGTAATTATTAGCTGCAGTGCTTTTTAGATGGCAGAAGAATGATGAGGTCTCCAGCACTCTAAGCTGCCAGCCTTTAACGCTTTCACTGAATCGTTGCAGTTTGTATTTCTAAAACTCATGTGTTTGTTTTTTTTGTTGTTTCTTTGTTTTTTAATAATAAAACTCCAATTTAAATCACTGCTGAATGATGAATGTTTAAACCTTCAGAATTCTCAGATTTTTTAGAATCTCTTGACTATGTAAATATTCTGTACTTAAATGCTGTTTCATGATAAGATCATACAACAGCATATCAGATAATTTCTCACGCCTGGAGTTATGAGAAAGGATTCTCAAAAACTGTACAAAAGAAAGACTGCATGCTCGAGAATGTAAAACAAAGTGAAAGATATGTGCTATTTGGTTTTTAGCTTACCAAATGTTTTTGTTTTTTTTTAAACTTAGGGCACTGCTTACTCATAACGCTCATAATGCTCCATAGTACCAAGCAATGGAGCGCAATTAACGCAGGTGGTTCGGCGCAGCCATCTCCCTCTTCCCCGGGTTCACATCGAGGAACCTCCATTTGGGACTGAAAGGCTGCCAAACTTGCTTTTATACGAACATTTGAACTCTAAGAATAATTTGTAAAAATGTACCATTGTTATGTTGACATGCAAAAATTGTTTTTTGAAATAATAACCGTTCTGAATAAAGCTTTTAGCAACATTTCTATATTATTTACATCCGCAATTCTCAAAACGTTGCATAATTTTTAGTTCTTTGAAATAAAGATAAAACAAATATATTTTAACAATTTGTAAAATATTCAAATTAGTGATTTAAAAAGCATTCAATTTAAATCACGATTAAAATCGGTGATTTATATCGTATGACTCGAATCATCGAAATTATAATTTATTCTAAAAAAAACATCTTTAAAAAAGGTCATGTACAAGTTTTTGAAAGCATGAGTACCTTTTACGTAATTTCTGCTTGAAGTTATAGTAATTTACATAAGAAAATCTTAAAAACAGGTCAAATGTTTCTCTTTAAATTGTTTCCTGGGATGGAGCCAATGTCACTTAAAAATGGTGCAGGTCTCATTTTCGCTGAGGTCTCTGAATTTTCGAAAATTACAAGTTAGGAATAAGAAGAGAAAGTATGTTCTGCTGTAGCACCACATATACTAGCAGTTTACACAGCTGACGCGTCCACCATGAAAATATATAACTCGGTTTTTCTGAGTAATCTTGTGCATTCCCAAAGTGGTACAAGAACTGCTTAATTAGGTACTACAAATCATTTGACTTGCAAAATCAACAATAATTTCACCATTCCCATGGTTTACATTTCACAGAATTCTAAAATATGTTTTAATTCTATAAATGTACAAGTTCGAGCCCTGCACAGTAGCCAAGAGAGCGGCGGGCACACATGCACAATGACCCGAGAGAAATTTAATTTCAATACTGCCAAATTATAACCAACAAAATAATGAAACGTAAAGATATGCAGGTTAGTAGTTACCCCACCGGTTGTAACAAAATGTGGGACGCACTACGTAGTATACCATAAACAATGCGACGAATCGTAAACATGCCCGGCCCACACTCGATCCTCGTGAATTCCTCTCTGCCCAGCACCGTCCGACTTCCTGCGACCTTTCTCGCTATTCCCTCACACCGCCCGACCTTCACTGCGCAATA